AAAAAAAAAATCAGCAGGGCGTGGGGGCAGGCGCCTGTAATCCCAGCTAGCTGGGAGGCTAAGGCAGGAGAATCGCTTGAACCCAGGAGCGGAGATTGCAGTGAGCTGAGATCACACCACTGCACTCCAGCCTGATAGGCAGAGTGAGACTTTGCCTCACAATTAAAAAAAAAAAAAAGCAGGGCAGGTAGAGACTCTGCAAGACCCCTGTGCTAAGGAATTAAGGATCCTTTGGTCCGTCCCATCTTGGCTGGGGGACCTTGGGCAAGTCACTGGTTCCTGGTGCCTCAGTTTCCCCACTTGTCCATCAGGCCCAGCAGGTTGAAGTGTGAACGCATAGGGGTCCATCCCCTTCCTAACTGTTCTTGAGCTGGGTCCTTTTGCCCCACACCCACACGCTCATCTTTCATTGTTGTTTTCTGTGGGTCCTCCCAGATCAGGCCACCCAGCCCAGCGTGGCAGGCACTGATGGCTGCCGGCTGAGTCACCATTTCCTCCTGGCCCCCTGCCTGGGCCTGATGCTTTCTGGGGACTTTCCTGAACATCAAAAACAAGGTGGGGGGGTGAGTCCCGGGTGGGGAAGCGGGGACAGAGACGCATGTGTTTGGATGTGTTTGTGTGTACCCTGGCATGGGTTCAAAGCCTACGCCTGGACCCTCCTGTGGGATCCAGGCCATAACCGCACCCCCCTAGGAGTTGGGGGACTGCACATGTGAGCACCCCGTGAATACCATGTGCCCGGCTGCTTGTGCCTGAGTTCACTGGCTGGTTTCTGAGTTGCTGACGGGCTTCCCTCTGTGTGTGTGTGTGTGTGTGTGTGTGTGTGTGTGTGTGTGTGTGTTTGCCTGTGTGTGTGTACATCCTGACTGCCCTGTGCCTGGAGCGACAGAGAGACCCAGCCCTTCGCTCAAAGGCTACATAAGACCTCCAGCACCCTGCCCCTCAATGCACGCTTCGATCAGAAAGGTGCATCTGGTGGGGAGAACTCCTTGGGTCAGGGCAGGGGCCTTGGAAAGTCCTGGCGTATTGGGGTGCGAGGGTGGTGGAGGCAGGGCGGGGCAGGGTGGGGTAGGTCAGGAACTGGGGAGCCACATGGGTGAGGCTGGGCAGGCTGAGCTTTGGCAGGAAAAGATGTCAACTGTAAAAATCCTCATTGAAGTGCCTACTGTGTGTTCGGGGCACTGGAACACAGTGGGGCCTCGGTGTAATAGACACCACAGCGACGAACAAGTTCATATGTAACCCCAGGAAGGGTGGGGTGGACCAGGAAGTTAAATTACACTGGGGCAGCAGGAGGGGAACTCAGGGGTGCCCCGGCTTGGGGACAGAAGGGACATGCTGAGGAGGTGACGTGAGGGCTCAGATGTGCTGGCGGAAGAGGTCTTGGGGAGTTCAAGGGAGACACAGTGCCAGGTGGAAGTCACAGCTGGTGCAAAGGCCCTGAGGTGGGGAGGGGACAAACTGGCAGAGGGGCTCTGGCCTCATCCAGGAAGGTCTCACTGACCCCAGCAGGACGGGGAGCCATCAGGAGGCCGTGCTGGTGAGGTCACCAGGACAGTCTGTCCTGTAACTGGAGCTCAGCAGGAATGTGTCCCCCTCCCGCCCCACCCCACCCCCACCCCACCCCCAGTGCTCTTTGCTTGGGACAGAATGTGCTGGGAGGAGAGGCTGGCGGTGGCTGTGCCTGGTGCCTGGACCGGGGAGGCCGGAGGATTCCTGAACAGTGGCCTGGACGGGCTGGGCTCCCTGCCAGCGTGGGCGGGAAAACGAGCAGCAGGCTCCCTGCCTGTCTGTCACCCTCTGTCCCCCAGCTGGCCAGGCCAGGTCAGGAGGCAGAGATGGTGAGAGAGTCAGGGCCCCAGAGGGACAGAGAGATGGTGGCCAAGAGAGATAGCGAGAGAGTCAGAGACAGTGGCAGACAGAGACAGGAGCACAGAGACAACAAGACTGAGAGAGACACAGAGACAGTAAACAAGAGAGACACTGAGAGAGACAGAGAGACCGAGATGGGAAAGAAAAGATGACGAGACTCAGAATAGGCAGAGACATTGAGAGACAGAGGCCTGGTGTCTGGCTGTCTGCGTGGGGGCCATGTCTGACTCTAGGGGATCTTGGGAGCAAGTACAAGGGGTGACACCTCCACCTCCTCAGAATCTTCATCCGGGCCGGGCGCAGTGGCTCACGCCTGTAATCCCAGCACTTTGAGAGGCCGAGGCAGGTGGATCATTTGAGGTCAGATGTTCGAGACCAGCCTGACCAATATGTTGAAACTCCGCCTCTACTAAAAATACAAAATTTAGCTGGGCGTGGTGGTAGGCACCTGTAGTCCCAGCTACTCGGGAGGCTGAGGCAGGAGAATCCCTTGAACCCAGGAGGCGGAGATTGCAGTGAGCCGAGATCGCGCCACTGCACTCCAGCCTGGGCGACAAAAGTGAATCTCTGTCTCAAAAAAAAAAAAAAAGAAAAGAAAAAGAAATTGACCACCTGCCTTTGGGTTCCACGGCCCCTCCCTGTGTTCGGGAAGTTTCCTGAATTGGCACTGCCTGGGCCAGCTTTATCCTGATTGTTGGTTGTCTGAACCGGAAAGTTCTCCCGTGGCATCAAGTTCCCCGTATTTGCAGACTCAGGGTCCGGAGGACACAGGGCTTCTTGTCCTCCCACCGCCGCTGGGGGGAGTCTTTCTGCCGCACTGTGCCCACATCCCTTCTGGAATAAACACTTTCCACTCTGTTTGGGCACATGGGTCTGGAAACTGATACCTTACGCCTTGCACACCCCGGGTGACAAAGAACTCACTTCCTGCTGAGGCTGTCAGCTCGGATTCTGGTGACTGTGCTGTGGAAGCTTCCCCTCCGCCTGGCCTCAGGGAGCTCCCGAGAATGCCATGCTCCAAGCTTGATGCCGGGTCAAGGGAGGACCAGGGGTAGCAGGAAAGGAGGGCTCACCCTCCGGCCAGAGGAAGGAGATCGAGGACTGGGGCAGGGGTTGGGGGTGGGTGGTCTCCCAGAGTCTCAGATGACAAGGCTCAGACACAAGGTGACCTGCCTGCAGATCTAATTTTTAGAAGAGATGGGGTTTCCTTCCTTCCTTCCTTCCTTCCTTCGTTCCTTCCTTCCGTCCTTCCCTCCTTCCCTCCTCCCTTCCTCCCTTCCTCCCTTCCTCTCTCTCCCTCCCTCCCTC